GAGGGTGTGGAATAAATGTTTTAAGAAAAACAAAATACTATCGTATAAAGAATGTTTTTAGGACCTCAATAATAAAAAAAAAATTTTGGCATTCCATTTAAAAAAAAAGTTGAGAGTCGCCATTTTGAAATAATTCTTCCAAGTGAAAATGTGGCATCACCATCGTGTAGAGAATGACCCAAAACATATTACTGCCAAATATTTTGAAAGTAGTACCCATAGTGTGGTTAAAAAAAAATAAGACGCTTACTCTGAATCAGGCTGTATACTTACGTGTTTTTTTTTTGCAATAAACTTATCGATTTCAAGAACAAAATCGATTATGTTAATTTGACTAGGCACCATTTTGCCAATAATGTTTTTTTTGCTTAGTTCTAGTTCAAACGATAATCACAACTATGTATATAGAAAAGAACATCATTTCATTTTTGAGTTTTAGATCATTTCAAGGATAGATATTGTGTCAACCAGCAACTTAGACAATCCACGCACCAACTTGGTTGAAGGACAATGTAAAGATTATTTTCTATAAACAATTCTTTTTAAATAAGTAAATATATCATGAAAACATATGCGAAAGATTAAATTGAAATACCACATAATTTGGCAGCTAAAAATTCCCAAAGAAATCATTTTATTTGATACAAAGAAAGATACTCACCCCTTAAAAAGCTTGAATTAATTTATACTTGTATTATTTGGGGTGGTTTACACTCAATTTCAAATTATTTTATGTTTTGACAATGTTAATAATTAAAGCTTTATGATTTTTCAGGCTCAAAACGAAAAAATGTATTGAAATCCAATGAGTAGCGTTCAAACCCTTAAACGCCCGCACATCAACTAAAATGCGTTATTAGCGAATCAACTTCCAAACATCCCCTCCTTAATTTATTGTGTGAAGAGGAATACTGGAGGTGAATAAACCAAAAAATGTAAAGACGACGAGGCGAAGCGGTTTTTAATCGTTTTTTGGTTTCAAAACTCAACCTTTCTATAAAAAAATTACTCGTTTTCTCGAAACATTTCAAATAAAACTTACGTCATTTTACTAAAATAAAATGCACTAAGTAATCGAATTTTAATGTTTAACACTTCCTGCAGCAGAATCAGGTGCCCAACAAGTAATTAAAATGAAGCGGCTAACACGTTGGGTTATGCAGCATCCCTTATTTTTTGTTATGAAATATAAATTTGAAATTGAATGAATTTATCAATTCACAACTATAATCACGTCACCTCTTTTTGCAGAAAATCTCATGGCACTTACTGCTCTGTTCAATCAGTGTTTAAACACAGGATGTTTTCCTGATAAATTTAAGATAGCAAGTATTTTGCCGCTATTCAAAAAAGGTGATATTGATGATCCTTCGAATTTTAGACCAATTAGTATATTGCCGGTGTTGTCAAACATTTTTGAAATGCTATTGAAAAATCAATTATTCAATTATTTTGAAACTAATAATATTTTTAACAAACAACAATTTGGCCTTAGAAAAGGATTCTCTACGGCACTGGCTGTATAAAATTTTGTCGAGTATGTGGTCGATGGTTTTGAGGCTTCGCAATACACTGAAGCTAGTTTTTTGGATCTTACCAATGCTTTTGATTGCGTGTCTTATTCTATCTTAAAACGTAAACTGTACGCTTACAATGTCGCTTTTGTCATCTTATCTCTCAAATAGAAGTCAATTTGTTAAATTTAACTCAGTGATGTCTAACCCTGGAAATATTACAAGCGGTGTTACTCAGGGGTCAAATTTGGGTCCTATTTTGTTCTTAATATATGTAAATGACTTGTCTTCTTTCCTAAGTGGTGAAAGCTCAAGTTCAATCTTGTAAGCCGATGACACAAGTTTGCTGACAAAACATGATTCTGACGTTGATGCCAAGGGATTGCAAGATTTAATGTTAAAATCGGTAAGACATTGGTTTGCAAGTAATCGTCTAACACTGAATGCTGATAAAACAGAAGTATGACCTTTACACTAAAGCAAAATACTATTAAATCCTGTGTAGCGGGTATAGGAGTCAGGTTTTTGGGTGTTCATCTGGATTCCGGGCTTACCTGGAATGTTCATGGTGAGAAATTAGCCTCACGCTTAAGTTCCGCTGCCTTTCTGTTGAGTCGTCTGTCTGAGTCTTCCTCTGCTCGGGTATTGCGTTCCGATTATTTTGCGCTTTTTCTGACCCATCTAAGTTATGGGCCTGGGGATATGCTCCGATCAATAAAAGAATATTTGGTATACAAAGAAGAGCTATTAGAAATGTTGCTAACTTTAATTACACTGAAGACTGTAGGCCTTCTTTTATCAAATTAAAAATATTAACACTACCTTCATTATATATTTTGGAGTGTTTAAAACTCACTTTACATCATAGTTAGCACAGGAAAAAATACTGATGTCGACAATTATGGCACTAGGGGGAGGAACGACATTCGACCAAAAACACTGCCACTGGAGAGGTCGAGAAACGCATATAATTACTATGGAGTGAAATTCTTCAATGTTTTGGCATTGTGGTTATAGAAGCTTACCTTATAAAGTTTAGGACAAGTTAAGGACACGGATTTATTTTGTCGAGGATTTAATGTAATGTAATGTATTTAGTAATTTAGTCTTTCTTATATGTTTTTTATGTTGCATTTATATTTAGATTTTGACGAATGTATGCCCTCTAGGTTATTAACATAATAAATTATTATTATTACGTTATGATACACTTTTGGGCGGTACTGTACGTGCAGTAGACATATCGCAATTATACGATCAAAGAAATCCAACATCTCAGTTCGTTTTTTGCAACCTTCTAAGGGTGTTAGCTTTAATTTAATTTTGCTCCTGGTGAGTAGAAGTATGAATCACTACCACGATAGTATCTGCGTGACCTACCTACATTTCACATTTCGGGACCTAGGAATAATCCTTATACGACTCTGGAAATCGTCTTTCTCGCTCTTTGGCCTTCAGATGCGTCGGAAGTTGATCTAGAAAGAAATTATAAATCATTGGCAAATCCTAAATATAATACGATATGCATCCAGCCTTTCAGGGCGGATGTTTAATAGGCGTAAACTTTCTTTAAGTCATTCTTTCAGCAGTGAATTAACATGATACTTTTTCTTTATATACCTTATATATGCGTAAAAGTGACTATTGTTTTAAATACGTTAAAAGTATTTTAAAAAAATCGATACTACGATAAAATTAGCAATTCAAAAAGTTCGATCGGCAATCCAAAAGGGATTTATTCAAATTAACATAACTAAACGATTTTAAATTACCTTCCTGCCTACCCTCACTATTTTTTTACTCTTTTCTCGCCCGCCAAGTCTTAATGCAACCAGCGCTCAACTTCGTTCCAATCAGGCACAGCTTTGAATATTCATAAATAGTAATGGAAAGCTCCCCTAATATTACTCTCAGTGAGATGCACAATTTTATAATAGTTATTGATCTTGTATAATTTAAAACATTTTTAATTAAAGGATTTAGTTTCATTAAACATAAAATCATTTGTATCACCAAAAAGAAAGTTTATTGGTCATAATTTATAATAATTACTTTACAAAAACACTTAATTAGGTTTCCCTCGTCCAAAACCTCCTCTGAATTCAACATCAGCAGTACCAGCTCCAACATCAGCTTTTTTATCAGGTCCGCTAGTGCCACCAGGTGCTCTTCTGTACCCAGCGCGATCTTCTGCAGGTTTTGATGTTTCAGATCGAACAGCTGTTGCCCTAGGACGCGCAGTTTCTGTTCTAAGTTGTCTTTTAAGTGTTGCTGGGACAATTTCAGGTGGCAAATGAAGATACGTTCTTAAATATTCAATACCTTCATTGGTCAAGTACCTACAAGTAAATTAAACTTCAAAAATATATAAATAAACTACAGTTTTTACTCACCAATAAAAATGCCTCCATGCAAATTGTTCCTTAACATATCCTCTCGATTTTAAAGATTGTAAAGCTTTAATAACCTCCAAATTAGGGATAGTTTCTAATTCGGGATGTTTTGGTGCATGGTAGTCCTTTTTAGCCACCATAACACCCTCCTTAAAAAGGTATTCGTAGATTGCTACTCTATTCTTTTTTGGCATCAACATCCTAAAGAAAACAGAAAGATAAACATGAGTTACATCGGATTGTGAGGTTATGTTACTTGAATACACGAAATTATCAAAAATTGGATTTATTATAAAAAATAAAGGTGGATGATAGTTCGATAAAACATTAATATGAAAGATATTGCGAAAAAATGATATGATTTAGTTTGATTATTAAGATATTTGCGGAAAAAACTTACTTGACGCTTTCTGGTTGACACTTGACGTGAAAAGGAGGCGAAGTGGGAGAGAGTGAAATCCCCTAGACGTGTTTACAATTTTTTAGGTTGGCAATGAATTTATTTATGAATTTATATTTATCGAAATTCGATTATGATAATTATGATTAATTAGTTATTATTTTGTATGTAACAATTATTTAATGTTGCTTTTTAATTTTAAAATGGAAAAATTTTGAAATTAGTATTGTCACTTTTGACAGGTGAAACAATTTAAAAATTTTGAGGTTAAGTGTAATCTTAAAGTTGATATCCTGTGAGATTTTTAATTGAATTATATTGAATATTTATAATACTTTCAACATTTTTGGATTTAAGTAAGTTGAATTTGGTGTATTATTCATATTATCAGTGATGATATTTTTTTTTTAGGTGAGATTATAGGTTTATCGCAGCATTGTTCTTGGAATACTTTCAAAATGATCTTTTATTAGTATTAATTAATAAAATTAATTCATTTACTGAATATAAATCACATTTACAATGTCATCAAACGAGGTTGAGTCTGAAGTGAAGCTTCAGAATATGATAAATATCGATGTATATAGACAACATGTTCAAACTTATATTAATTTGGTAAAGATCTTGTTAGGGTGTATAATGATGATATTATTGTGGAAATTTTTAGCATATTTATCAAGCGGCTTATTATTGGGCCGAAAAAGTAGTTGCATTAACTTGTAATAATCCAAGAGACATTTATTGGTTGGCTCAATGCATGTTTTTATTGAAACAATATGATAGAGCAGCTCATTTATTAAGATCTAGATCTTTAGATACGGTTATACACGCTATTTTTTCAATAAAACTCCTTAATTATTAAATCCCTTTTTTTAGACATACGTTTTATGTAATTATTTAACAGTAAAATCTTTATTAGAGGCTAAAGATTTAAATGAAGCCTTCAAAGTATTGAATTCATTTAACCCAGATGTATTTACACATGTTAGTAGCATTGATATGTCAAATTTAGGTACAGAATTTACATCTTTTGATGATACCCCAAAGCATGTAAGTGAAAATCCCAAAAAATAATTAAACAATTAATTAGATTTTATTTTAAAGCAAATATGTGCTTCGGTTTTTTTGATCAAAGGAAATGTATTGGAAGCTATGGATAATCGTGGATTAGCCGCGGATTGTTACAGACAAGCGTTGCAATGCGACGTTTATTGTTTCGAAGCGTTTGAAAATTTAATTCAACATCAAATGTTAACAAGTGCTGAAGAAATTGATTTATTAAATTCACTTCCTATATCTCAACAATGTACCCCTGAAGAAGCTGAGGTTCTAACTATGCTTTATAAAAGTAAATTAAAAATATATCAAGGTGTTGTAAACATATCTGAAAATAAAAATCCAATTCCTCCAATGATCACTTCTCAATCAATGTTCTCAAGCACCCCAAGACACGATTTAATTGGTGCTGAAAGAGATTTATCAACACAAAAAGATGTTTTAAGTGATAACAAAGAAATTGATAATAAAGATATTGAAGGAATTCCGACGCAATTAGAAGTAAACTCGGCTATTTTACGTTTAGAACAGAGTTTAGACGTTTTGGTTTCTGAAGCTGAATATTTATATTACATTTGTGATTATCAACGTTGCAAAAAATTAACTGAAAATATTTTAGCTGTTGATCCTTATCACAGCGGATGTTTACCTATTCATATTTCGTGTCTTGTTGAATTAAAAGAATCAAATAGTAAGATAAAAAAATCTCAAATTGTAAAATAATTAATGAATTTGTTTTAGAATTATTTACATTATCTCATAAACTCGTGGAAATATATCCAGATAGAGCTGTTGGTTGGTACGCGGTCGGTTGTTATTATTATGTTACAGGTAGAAGTGATTGTTCGAGAAGAAATCTTTTAAAAGCAACCACTCTTGATAAACTTTTCGGCCCCGCTTGGTTAGCTTATGGACATTCTTTCACTTTAGACAACGAACACGATCAAGCAATGGTCGCTTACTTTAAAGCATCCCAATTAATGAAAGGGTAATTATAAATTTATTTTATTATTTTTTTATTATCAAAACAAATTTTAGTTGTCATTTACCACTTCTGTATATCGGTTTAGAATGTGGCTTAACCAATAATGTTCCTTTAGCGACGAATTTTTTCGATCAAGCCATAAAAATTGCTCCAAACGATCCGTTTGTTTTGCAAGAAATGGGAGTTATCGCCTTTCAAAGTTTAAAGTAATTTGGTTTTTTCGTTTATAATAAAATGGTATAAATTTTGTTTTCTTTAGATATGATTTAGCTGAACAACACTTTAAAGAGGCTTTAAACGTTGTTAAATGTTCTGGTTATCAAAAAGTTCTTCCAGAATGTTGGGCGCCACTTTTAAATAATTTAGGACATGCTTTGAGGAAACAAAAAAAATATACGGAAGCTGTAGAATATCATTTAGAGGTAAAAAATAACTATTTAACAGTAGAACCTCGATTACACTAATTTAACTAGTAAACATAGAATCCTAAGATCACCTCTATCAAGCAGCTTGAAGTCTTTGATGTTTGTACTAAGGATGATGTTTGCCCCCTTTCTCATTTACTGATTTTGTATTTTTAGAAAATGCAATTTTTCTCGGTTTTTTTCTTATACAACCTTAAGGTATAATATATTCATCAAATAGAAGGAAATATTCTCTATCAAAATATGCAAAAAAAGAACATATGGGTTCCATTTAAGATAACAATGTTGGTCACCATAGCCATAATTATACAGATGTCCCGTATCTTCCGCATCAGAGCATTATACGGTTGTAGAATACATTATTCTGAAGCGATCTTTCTAATAAAATTTTTCCGAAATGTTTATGTTTATGTTATAAACATTTCGGAAAAATATTATTGGAAAGATCACTTCAGAATAATGTATCCGGTTATAGGATACATAATGCTCTGATGCGGAAGATACGGGACACGCTGTATAGATATTCCATACATAATGGGCACCTGTATTGGCCTGTACAATTATTTACATAGAAATGCGCTGATTTATGTTGTACTGCTCACAGGGAAATTAAAATTTTAGTTTATCAAAAAATTTTATTAATAAAAGTTGTTTCTAATATAACTCTCAACAAATATTGTTTATAAAAAAATTCGATATGATCAATAATTATAATGATATGCCAACAATATACCATCGTACTGTTCAGTGGGAAATTAAAATTTTGTTTTATCACAATATACTGTTAATAAAAGTTGTTTCTAATATAATTGTCAACATATATTGTTCATAAAAAAATTCGATACGATCAATAATTATTATGATATGCCTATGATATACCAACGTATTGTTCAGTGGGAAATAAAAATTATGTGTTATCACAAAATATTGTTAACAAAAGTTGTTTCTAATACAATTTTGAACAAATATTATTCATAAAAAAAATCGATACGATCAATAATTATTATGATATGCAAACGATATACCTACGTACCTACTGTTCAGTGGGAAATTAAAATTTTGTTTTATCAAAAAATGTTGTTTCTAATATAATTCTCAACAAATATTGTTTATAAAAAAATTCGATACGATCAATAATTATTATGATATGCCGATGATATACCAACGAACTGTTCAGTGGGAAATGAAAATTTTGTGTTATCACAAAATACTGATAATAAAAGTTGTTTCTAATAAAATTCTGAACAAATATTATTTATAAAAAAAATCGATATGATCAATAATTATCGTGATATGCAAACGATATACCAATGTACTATTTAGTGGGAAATTAAAATTTTGTTTTATCAAAAAATGTTGTTAATAAAAGTTGTTTCTAATACAATTCTGAACAAATATTGTTAATAAAAATATTCGATACGATCAATAATTATTATGATATGACCACGATACGTACTTTTCAGTGGGAAATTAAAATTTTGTTTTATCACAAAATATTGTTAATAAAAGTTGTTTCTAATATAATTATCATCAAATATTATTTATAAAAAAATTCGATAGGATCAGTAATTTTTATGATATGTCAACGATACACCAACGTACTGTTCAGTGGGAAATTAAAATTTTGTTTTATCACAAATTACTATTAATAAAAGTTGTTTCTAATATAATTCTCAACAAATATTGTTTATAAAAAATTTCGATACGATCAATAATTATTATGGTATGCCGATGATATACCAACGTACCTACTGTTCAGTGGGAAATTAAAATTTTGTTTTATCAAAAAATGTTGTTAATAAAAGTTGTTTCTAATATAATTCTCAACAAATATTGTGTATAAAAGAATTCGATACGATCAATAATTATTATGATATGCCGATGATATACCAACGTACTGTTCAGTGGGAAATTAAAATTTTGTTTTATCAAAAAATACTGTTAATAAAAGTTGTTTCTAATAAAATTCTGAACAAATATTATTTATAAAAAAAATTGATATGATCAATAATTATTATGATATGCAAACGATATACTAACGTACTGTTCAGTGGGAAATGAAAATTTTGTGTTATCACAAAATACTGTGCATATTAAGATTTTATCAATAATTGGTAATTATTTAAAACGGTTTTTGATAAAATTTTAATATGTTAAAGTGCGTTTATATAATTTGACATAAGTTTATATCTAAAATTTAAATATGATTTATATTTTAACATGAATTGTACATTATAGAGGTCTTCTGAGGACGGCCAGGTGGCTGAAATTAATAAAGACAATTAACAAAATAAAATTTATCACCTTAGTAAATAAAGATTTATTACCCACTTTATCCAAGAAAAGGTGAAATGAATATTAACCTAAACTATATTAGTCATTTGTGGTTTTAAAGAAAAATGTTTCAAATAAAAAATTCTTTATTAATTGTGGCGCATTTTTTGGCGATATTTGCTTGATTACATTATTTTTTATTTCGTTGCTATGGCAACCAACATTGTTACTATATGTTTTTTTTTGTATATTTTGATAGAGGATAAATCCCTTTACACGATGAACATATCAAATCATATGGTACAAATGTAGAAAAAGACTACAGTGATAAAAATAAGAGGAAGATTACTTCAAAATTTTCTGACAAATCGTACAAATCTAATTGTAGCTTTAGACAAGTTGGAGTTAAATAAAAGAGAAAGTATTTAGTAAGATTTAAGTTTTTAATGGATTTGCAAAGAAAAATTAACCGCTCCTACATTATCATCATCACATCAAGTTTTTCATGTCGTTTCTCGCCACTAAGATTCTTTCGCGGCTTCTTCCACTAATTATAAATTAAAGCACACATAATTCATCGTATGGTTTAATTGCATATGATTAATCGGGGTTCTACTATACTAAAATACCAAAAATAATATTATTAATATTTTAGGCTTTAGTGTTAAGACCACAAACTCCTACAACATATTCAGCGATTGCATTCAATCATTCTTTATTGGGTAACTTAATGGAAGCTGTCGATTGGTTTCATAGGGCTTTAGGTTTAAAAGGAGATGATACTTTTAGTACAACAATGTTAAATTATTTATTGGAACATTTAGCGGAAGATGATAGTCCGTTTCCTGGTAAATAACTTAATTATTTGATGATTTTTTATTTTATAATAAAAACTTTTAGGTGCACCTAATGAAATTCCAAATTTTAAATCATTAATTGAAGAAAGTGTACAATCAAATTCGGATGAAAGTGTCGCTGTTGAAGGAACCGTTGATGGAATAAGAAATGATTTATCAGATATGAGTATGAGTTATTAAAAGGGTAATTATAAAAAGTTTGTCTTTATTTTAAGAAGATACATACTAAATTATACGAATAATGTTGACGAAATTCTTATAAAATATTAAAAAAAAAATACAAGTGACACTTTTTATAAATAGAATGTTGTATGAATGTTGTTCAAACTTCTTATTCTACTTAAACCCTAATTTCTAAAAAAAAACTAAATTAGATTTTGTTACAACTTAATAAACCTCCGTTTCTTTTGGTGAACTCCTCTTTTCTGGAACTTCTTCGTCCTCATCATCTTCATCTACATCGTCTGAAGGGCGCATTTTTTCCTCATCTTCCATTCTAAATGAAAATATAATTATTATTTATTATATTTTTTTAATTGTCTTAATCTCACCGTCTCTTTTCCATCGTTGATGTTTCGTATTCATATTCAGGTTCATCATCTTCTTCATTCGCAGCTTTCCTTTTTTGAATAAATTTATAAGCGATGAATGCAAGAAGAAGAATTAAAGGAACGATGATTGCCATAACGATAGCTGTTGTGTAACCAGCGTATCTTGAGGAATATTCCTGTTGGCCTAAATAAAAATAATTATAATAATATAATTCATATTATTAATATATGGTTTTGTGGAATGGATACACAAGGTAATTAAATTCAAATATTGTAATCCATTCCACAATATAGGAAAATAAAAAATCAAAAAACATCGTTTAATAACAACCAATTAGTCATTTTGCTTTTCTTTTCCTATCCTGTGAAAATGGACCACTTCTTCCTTCCAAAATAAATTTATTGTTATAAAACTAAGAAAATAAAATTACATTAAAATTAATATCTTAAACATCTGTAACTAAATTGCGTTGACTTTTCGTAATTTGATCTTTATGTTTTTTATCTTTATCGACAAAGCTATATTCTGGCATTGCTGCAACTGGACTTGGGGTGACGTTCGGTTTTGGAAGTGGTGGTGGAGAGCTATATTTCGGTGGTGATAATGATCGATCTAATGGGGGCGTCGTAATATAAGGTTCTGAATAAACCGGTCCTGTTGAATCTCGAAATTCTGAATTTATTGGCGAATCTGCGTCATAATCTCCTTCCTCAAAATCTATGTTGGGGCGATCTTTTAATGGCTCGTTAGTACGATAACTTCGATCGTAACTGCGTCTTTTTTGAGGTAATGTGTCCCCGTAACTACCTCGATCGCTCATCACGGGACTTCTGTATGTATACTCATCTTCTGGGGATGCTGTTCCCGATCCGATTTCGTTCATTTTCATACGACTCGCCGAACGCGATGGGGGGCCGTATAACCATGAGTTATCGTTGCGTTTATCGCTTAATTTTCGGTAAGCTTTAATGATTATGTAAGCAAGCAAAATGACTAATGGTACTACAATAGCTAACACTATTGCAGTGGTTATTCCAGCAGTTCTAGAGGAATATTCTTGTTCACCTTTCGTTTAAACAAAAAATAATAACATTGAAAAACTAAAATATTAAAAAAAAATCAAAATACTTACGAAGACACTCTGTGTATCCATGAATAGGTGTATCCCATTGCCCGTGAGCTAAGCATTCTCTCCTTGGATCCCCAACAAGTACAAAGTTTTGGTCACATTCAAATTGGACAGTTGTTCCCGGTATAAAGAAGAAAGTACTTTTTCTTCCAAATCTAGGCGTAGGCAAAATTCCGCAAGAAATTGTTCTTATTGAATTCTGCTTTCTCATGTTGATAATGGTATTGAAATAATTCAAAGAGAAATGGGCCAAGTGTCTATCCAAAGTCATTGCGAAATCGTATTGGCAATGATAGTTTTCGTGACAGAATTGCCAAGCTTCTTCTCGATGCAAAGATCGATTCGGCGGAATCAATTGATTTAGATCGGTTCTAAATTCTGGTATAAAACTTCGATTGTTAAACGACGAAGCAAGTCGACCAAATTCCCTATAGAATAACGCCGCCCCTATTCCTTCTTGGTGGTTATCTTCCAGCATCCAATGCATACCGAAATCGGTGTAAATGCGTTGAAATTCGTTTAAGTTTGTATGAATTGGTACTAGGGTACCATCAGGAAGGGCGAAATCATCTTCTACATCGAAACTCCAATTACCAAACAATCCCCTAGTTTGATTCTAAAAACATTTCAACGTCAAAATTAAAAATTATTTTTTTAATTTGATACATACGATAAAAGTCCATGGTAAATACACCCTCGCGGTTAAAAATCCACGATTTTCAAGTACCTCAACACCCACTCCCGAATCAAACATCATAATAACTTCGGATTGATTTAAAATATATGTTGGTGTGTAAACAGTTACATCCGGGAAATGTTGGAATTTCAAAGCTGGGCGATCGAAGTACACTCTCCTATTATCAACGATAACATCTAATCTATATCTCCATCTAGCGTATTCTGGACGGCGTCGAACTTCAACCACCGTATTATTCACTAATTATAAAAAAAATTAGTTATTTTCAGATGAATAAAAATAAAAGGTTAAAATTACCTCGAGCTACCACCGATGTTAATTCAGTAGCTCTAACTTCACCATATAAATTCATTGGCATTTGTTCAAATCTTCCTTGCACGTCCAATTGATGATCGGGAGTATTAACTCGCACCAAAACGAATTCGCCCATACCGTTAAATGTGTAAGCTAAATTATCGAACGTGATTATGTGCGGATCTCCAAAAACACCAGCAATTGAAGGTGCTTGATAAGAAACGCAATCTTGAGATGGTCTTCTTTCAAATCGAAGGGTTTCGCAGCCGACGGCTTGTTCACTTTGCCACATGCAACATAAATATCTTGGAACCATATCATGGAACCATTGTGAAAGGGAGGGAACTTTCGTTGGTTCGGTCCATGGAAGGAAACCTAAATTATGGGAACGACGAGGGAATGATCCCCATTGCTGATCGTACGATAACATTAAGAAATTCATTTTATCGTAACAACATTGTTGTTCAGAACCATCAAGGCTATAAAAAATAATTAAATTTAAGAATTATTTGAAAACAAAAAATTATTAATTAATAATTAACTTACGTCGGTGCTCCAGTTCTTACACAATGCATAGCTCCTCTATTATACATACATAAAGGATTTGAATCTCTATCGCAATCAAAATCGGGCAAAAATCGTCCCTTATCATTCAAAGCGTGTTGTAAAGTGCAAGGACATTGATTTAATTTATGAGTGAAACTTTTCAAAAATCGATCAGTTCGTAACCATTCATTACAAAGTGCCAATGGCCAATTTGATCCATAATCTCTTTCCCATTGGAAGTTAAAGTACCATCCCAAAGGAATTGGACGACTCCAAATCATGGGGGTAACCGAATACCCATTAGTTCCGTTAATAAAAATGGGATTGGTTAAATTAATTTGTAAGAAACCGAATTTCATGTCGGATACAATTCGATTTTCGCGGTTTCTAAACGTAGCGGGAGTAATGGTGTATTCACCAACGTTCGTAATTCCCTCGGCGATTAAATCGATGTACAAGAATTCCGGCCGAATACTTGTTTCTCTATAACCCCAAAGGGAGATTGAAATCGGCGCATTATCGTTTATCGTTAAATTTTGTTTGACCCATTTCAGTCGAATTTCTGTTGGGTTTCTTTGGTGGATTGAATTGTCGTCGAAGAAAATTTTTTCGGTGGCTTGCCCAGGAGGTTCAACATAATATTTACCTTTCCATTTAAACACCTCATTATTAATAGCAATTTCAAAACGAACATATCCTTGTACTGTTAATCTTGGTTGAACGCAAATCGCTCTGTTAGTATCTACGACTATTCCAAAAACTTCATCCGCAATATCAAATTTGCAACGAATTTTATCTCTAGGTCTAAAACAAGGACCTGTTATGTTTACCACGGTACCTGTTGGAAGAAATAAAATAATTTAATACAGGTTTTCTTTAACCTGAAGTTAGAGTTAAGTTCTTGTAAGTAAAAACGTACCTCCTAACATATTTCCACTTTCTGGGGCGAATATTAATGGGAGATTAGCTCCGTCGATATCTTTATTACAATTTCCGGTTAATATATTTTCATCAATCCGGAAAACGTGTCGTCCGGGAAAACCATTCGTCCAACCACGTCCTGTTAAGTCTCGAATTACTGATGCTTGACTGTACGGTTGATATTCATAAGCTCTACTTCCATTTCCGGCGTTAAAACCAACAAACGCGGGAATACCTCCTTCTCCTTTAAGTGTATCTCCCCCAGCCTCAGTGTGAGCTGACCATTGAATATCAAGATAATTAAAAATAGCATAAGTAACAACTTCATCGGTAGCCAAAACCACTTGAAAAGTGTTAGTGTGGAATAACGACTGACTAATTCCCCCGGCAAACGTAACATTTTTCCATGTCACAATAACCATATGTTTTGGATCAAAATTATCAGCACCAATCATTCCTTCACGAACATCCCACTTAACCCTTTCGTATGCTTCAACGCCAAATTGATCGGTTCTAAATTGCAAATCTCTTTCCATGCGGTAATAAACACCGGGTCTTCTTTGATCGATATCCTCAGCACGAATCGAACCAATCCTACATTTACTGAAGAAAATCCCGATAAAACTCGGATCGTTTACCCTCGGCCAATCTTTAACTGGGAAAGTCAGAGGGTAACCTCCATAATTTTCCGGCGGGTCACTAAATTCTAAGTAACCGTTCATCGAAACTCTGGTGTAATTAAAACGGAAACCGAAGAAAGGAAGTTGAAAATTGAGATTTTTATGAATCGTCTGCGTTGATGATTGGATCGCCCTTTGAAAATCACCTTCATTGTCGCTACCTCCCATATCGAAAAACCAATACATAAATTCACTTCTTATTTCGCGTAATCGGGCTTCTGTGATTACATATGGAACTCCTCCTCCAGCTCTTTGTGAACGTTGATCAGGTGGTGCAAATCGAGACTTTATTGAATCTAGATAGATGTATAGAGAAAATATTAAAATTAGGTAATAATAATAATTTATTGTTAATAAATAAAAGTTCGAGGTCTAATGTTAGTTCTAGTGCTAGCGTCAGCTCTAGTTTTAGTTGTTATTCAACATTAGATTATTGTACGTTTTAATTGAAGTAAAAGTAACTTTCGGGTTTAGCCGTCTTAAGAGACGTGCGGCTAAACCCAAATGTTTCTAGTTCTAGATCTGGTGTTAGTTCTATTGCTCTAGTGGGGACACACTTCCCTATCTCAAACGTCTGCTCTAATACGGATGCTGACATTAAAGCAATGGATATAACCCGTCCATCCGGTAGGGTTTACAGCCTAGCTGGGAAAATTTTTACCCCCAACAGAGTAAGGTGAGCTATTTCTAATTTGAAATCACCTGGAGGGGATGGAATTCTGCCTATTTTGCTGCAAAAAGGCATAGAAGACCTACTCTCAATAATAATATGCCTATATATAGCTTCACCAGCTATAACTTCAACTATATACCTACATTATGGAGGAAAGTAAAGGAGGTCTTTATACCTAAAGGTGGTAGACCAATTAGCCTAACTTCATTTCTCAAAGGGATGGAAAAGGTAATCAATCAATACCTTAGGAATGGAGCGCTGGTCAATAATCCACTCAATCCAAGTCAACATGCTTATTAGAAAGCAAAATCAACAATTGCTGCTCTCCATGCTGTAACAAGCATTTTAGAGAGACAATTGCAACCAAAGAGATAGCCCTATGTGCTTCCATAGACATAACGGGTGCTTTTGATAACACCTCCTACGAATCCATAGAGAAAGCTCTAAACGTAAAAGACACAGTGACAATGACGTCGATTCGTTTGATGTTGGCGGCATCTCGTTTTATGACCTCGATTTAAAACGCACAATGAATGGGAGAAACAACTTAATTTACCACCAATAGCAGCAATACCTTGCATCGACGCAACAATATGGCGTCAGATTTGGCGGGATACCGCCAGAGTCACTTCTGGTTATTCTGTAGTATAGCTATGCTGAAAAGTCGGGACATCACAGCCAGTCTGGGAGGCAAGTCGTTGACTATTAAGGCACTTAGAGGATGTCCCCAAGGGGGAGTGCTTTTACCTCTCCTATGGCGCCTGGTACATGCCTTTATAATTTGGAATAAAAGTCTTGATTGGGCTGGAAATGTTTCTGCCAAAAAACGAAGGAAAATGTTCTTACAAGAACTAGGTATGTCACTTATCCAACACGAAATAAATCGAAGAGCATCAAATATTGGAAGAGGTGGAAAGGGAATACAAAATAGAATAGAAATTGCAATTGAAAGTACAGGAAGAAAAATAACAGCATTCCATAAAATGTGATTCCTGTACTGTACATAGTACAAAAACAATAAATGTAATTTGTACACGCTACAAACAAGAATATGCTTCTTGTTATTTTCCGTCACATGTTTATAATATGACTTATGACAACGGTGGCCAAACTGCGGCTCGCGAGCCACATGCGGCTCTTTGAATGATTATCTGTTTTTAATACCTTATTTGCATACCTTTTTAATACGTATTTAATTGCGGCTCGCGAAAAATTTCGAATTTTGAAAAATGGCTCGGACTATCAAGGAGCTTGGCCACCCCTGACTTAGGATTAAGAATGAGTTCCTTTTTATACATAGTTATATTGTGGTTATAGTTTAATTATATACAGGTGTTCCGTGATTCGACGACAAACTTATACCATATATTCCGGGGGTCATTACGATCAAAAAATGGTATATAACTTATAGGTGAATTTATTTTATTTCGGAGATATCGAAGGAATTAAAAAAAAGTGATAGTCTTGACGATTTAACGTTTGATAAATTAATGATTTTTATGCTGTCTAAAGCAGTTTTAAATGCAGTTGAACGAAGTCCTTCTACCAGTATTCGTAGAATATCCCATACAACGGCAATTCCTCAAACCAACGTATGGAGAATTCTGCGCTATGATGGACTTTATCCCTATCATTTACACAAAGTCCAGCATTTACTTCCTGCGTTCCGGATGAGGCCTAATTTACAAGGAATGGTATTAACAACACACATAATTCTCACATCTGGACGGATCAAAATCCACACGAAGCAATCGTTCTTAACCATCAATATCGTTTTTCCGTCAACGTGTCTTGCGGCTTGTTAAATAATCAACTTGCTGGGCCTCATTCTTTTGAAAGACGTCTTAGTGCAGAAATTTACCCTCATTTTTGGGAAGAAGAATTGCCGAATTAAATAGAAGATAGTCCTCTAGAAGCTCGACTTGGGATGTGGCTCCAGCAAGATGGAGCACCTTCACATTTTGGGAGACAAGTGACGGTATTTCTTAATCAAAATTTTCCGGAGAGGTGGATAGGTCGAGGTCCAGGACGATGGTCCTGTACATTGGCCAGCTCGGTCACCTCACTTGTCGCCTCTAGATTATTTTCTGTGGGGTTGTCTCAAATCTCGTACGTATAGTAGTAATGGTAAAGTAGATACACGCGGAGAGTTGATTGACAGAATAGTTGAAGCTATTAATTCGCTAAAGAAATTAACTAGCAACATTCTATAACACGAAGGATAGCTGCATATTCAGAAAATACGCTTACTTAAAATATTACTTACTAGCACTTGGTGCAGAGGCAACGGGCTCAGTATTAATCCAAACAAAGTCGAAATAGTCCCTTTTACTCCGAGAAGGAAGCTACAATTGAGAGCACCCTCAATTGAAGGTAGAACTATTAACCTCAAAACTAAAGTCAAATACCTAGGGGTAATACTAGACAGTAAACTAAACTGGAACTGCAACTTAGTCAAGGTGAGGAAAAAGACTATCATGACTAACCAGATCTGCCGCAGGCTTCTTGGAAGGAATTGGGGTCTTAAACCACGAAGAGCTTAAGATGAAGGCTTAAGTTACAATATATCTTATAAGTCGCGGTGACGAGAGGGGCTGCTCCCCTCAGCCCGGCAATAATAGCAACACTCATTACTGTAATTGTAATAAGAGGTGTTGAAAAACTAGCCTATGGGTTATTGAAAATGAATACTAATTCGAATGTAATCAAGAAATTATCAAAATGAGCACTGATATACTAGGAATTGATATGATAAAGAGATATGAAATTGTTAAATCCACTTTATCAATTAAAGATATTCAAAATCTCAACTAAACCTAAATCGTCAACTAAAAATTACAAGGTACCAAAAGAATGCAGTAACGAAAAAGTATGTAATAAATCAATAAATTAAATTCATCGTCGTCGTTTTATCATCGATCAAACATTGTTTATGCACATGACGAAATTATTTCGTTAATCACTCCTTATCTTATCACTACAAATATACCTGTGTGAGTTTTTGGAAAATCGAACAAAACATACACATATTAAATTCAACAAATAAAATCGTCATTATTATATGATTCGATTGGATAACTTAGTAGGATTCGATAAAAAGATAAAAAATTCTTACCGTAATTTGCATAATCCACATAATCCGTTAATTTCTCTGATTTTTGTTCCGCATCTTCTACCGTTGCCACAGATGTCTCCACATTTTCGATTGGATCCTCATGGGGTTCCTCATTTTCTACATGCGGTTCAGTTTCTGCAATAAAATTTAAATGAAATTTTAGATAAAGACGCCATTTTGTTCTAGAAAAAAAATATTTATACACCATTCTTTTTTAAATACAGAACATATTTATTAATAACTTTCTCTATTAAAATGAATCATAAGATGTTATGTACCGCAGTTTTTTATAGATTCATTAAACTAAATGAACTGCTTTAGTAATAAAGATAAAAATATTTGTGCGCGCCATTTTGATTTCTAGAAACGCCCAAAATAATGTATTCAAAATTTAAAATAAAGACTAACTTACCATCTAGAGTAATTTCTGGAACTATTTCAACATTATCTACGTCGGTTTCGGTTGTTTCGAGATCATCTTGCGCCGAAACGACAGCAATCGCCAAAAAAGTAAAAAGGAAAATTTTCTTCCAATTCATCTTTTCTCATTGATTCATTGGAAGAAATAAGAATCTGTTTAATGGTAGTTCTTAACGATCACAAAAAACGATAAAAATATAAACTCCACCTATTCGCACCAGTTTATTAAGAAATGATTTATCTAACTAAGCTAAGCGGGTGTAAAAACACTAAGTTATCTACTTTGATAACAAAGATAAAACACAAAACTGGGTTGTGAAGTGTAACGGTACAGGTATCGAAATATTTATCAACCTTTGATAAGGATTACTTTTATTTGTTGTTTAAGTCATAGTTTATTTTAGCACACAGAAAAATTTAATGATCGTTTCATGTTAAACTAGATAATTTAAAAAAAGGAATTATATTAACATGACTCATTATTTTCATGAAATATTTTATTTATTAAATGAACAAATTATGACTATCTTATTTTTCTTGATTAGGTGGCTGAAAATGATCAGGTATCTTTTGTAATTCAACTTTTGTAGCTTTCAACGCCACACCTTCAGGTAAATTCCTTTCAATATATTCAAGCAAAGTATCTGCAGTTGATCCAGTTAAATATTTATATTGCACAAATGTAAAATAAGTTCTTATTTCGTATTGTACTCTGTGCTTTTTATGAATATGGGCTGATTTTAATACTGTATATCTATCATGAAGAGGTTTCCTCAAATTCCATCTAAAACATATTAAAAAGGCAATAAATAATCATTTGTTTTTAATTTTTCTTAATTTTACGTTTTGCATTCAATATTAAAATTATTTCCAGTCATTGTAGCAAATTTAGCAAAGCTATTTAGCACGGCGGAATCATTTCCTCGTAATTCCAACTCCACTATTTTAAATAATTTATCGGGTACATCGGAAAGTTGAGTTTCAGTTTGCAAATTTGTGGTAATCGTCCTCGATGTGATAATTTTTGGGAATTTATCGAAATTCCTTATCGTGGACCTTAAAAAGTTCTAAAAACATCGAAAAATTAATTCAAATTTATTTAAATATATCAAAAATTACCATTTTATATATTAATTTAACCTCAAAATTCGTTCTAACCTCAAAATATATAATAAAAATATTTTATGTTGTGTAGCGCCCTCTATTAATTAATTTTTCAAATAACAACATTAAATGAGAGAAACACTTTTTTGCTTTATACGTATTATTTAAATATGTTTTTATAATTTTTTTTTTTGGTTTAAATTAAATGAATGTTTTTTTAATTTTTATTTACGTAGTAATAAACGTTTATAACAACATTTAACTAAAATACATAGATTTCTATATTACCGATATTAATGTTGTCATTTTTGACAGTTAACCTAACCACATGTTTTTATTAATTATTAATTAATTATTATTAAAATGGATGAAAACCAACAAAGTAATATTAATTTTATACCTTGTGTTAAATGGGTTAAACAAGGTATTGCTAAAAGTAACCCAGAAAAGGTAAAATCAAAATTTTAATTTTAAACAAAAATTTAATATTTAATTTTTTTAGGTTCAATTAACCAAAGAAGAATTAGCTGAAATAATCAATGAAACAAAATCAAAGCTACAGTAAGTGAGTTATTTTTCTTTATTCCATAAACTATAATAATTTATTAGAATTGCTGAGGAAAAGGAAGGAGGTCCTTCAGAAGAAACTTCAATGCCGGTTGATGATGAATTTAGCCTTGAAAAGTATGATGAAGAAGCTGATACGGAAGAAAATCCTTTAGGGATAGCTGCTTTAGCTGAGTTACCAAATGAGGCTGATGCAAACTTTGATGATAGTGATGATTCTGATAAAGAAGATGATTTAATTAAAAAGGATGATAATTTGGTTCTTGTTGGAAGGGTTGAAGGAGATGCAGGCGTCTTGGAAGTTTATGGTATGAATTATTTTCTAAAAATATGCTTAATACATAATCATTTTTTTAAAATTTTTAGTGTATAATGAGTCAGAAGGTTCCTTGTATGTACACCATGACTTTCTCCTACCGGCGTTTCCTTTAGCAATTGAATGGCTTGATCATGAACCTGGACAAGCTCCAGGAAATTATTGCGCAATAGGATCAATGAATCCTGTTATCGATATTTGGGATTTAGATATAATAAATTGTTTAGAACCAGCTTATTCTTTAGGACAACCGGCTAAAAGAAAAAAGAATCAACCACACATTGGTCATAAAGACGCTGTTTTAGCTTTATCATGGAATAAAAATTTCCATCACATCTTAGCTAGCGGTTCAGCAGATAATTTGGTTATGTTATGGGATATTGATCAATGTGAACCAAGTGTTATCATTAAGTCTTTTCTCAAACAAGTTCAATGTATGGAATGGCATAAATTGGAAGCTCAAACTTTATTAGCCGGATCAAGTGATAAAACAGCAAGAGTTTTTGATTGTAGAAACCCTGAAACGCATCAAACATGGGTTTTGAAAGGGGAAGCTGAAAAAGTTTATTGGAATCCTTTAGAACCATTCGTTTTCTTTGCTGGAACAGATAATGGGTTTGTACAATGCTTTGATTGTCGGAAAGGAGAGTTATGGGAGATTGAAGCACATTCTGAAGAAATTTCTGGCTTGGTTATTAGTAGTCAATGTCCAGGGATGTTATTGACAACTTCTTCAGATGGTTTACTTAAAACTTGGGATTTTAAAGATAAGGATAAACCAATTTTGGTGCATGAAAAAGATTTAAAATTGGGAAAAGTACTTTCATTGGATATTTCCCCAAATTCTCCATTTACTGTAGCTGCTGGTGGTGACAAAAAAAGTAATAATTTTAAAGTTTTAGATTTGCTAAGTATTGACACAGGTTTGTTATTATTTTTTATTTAAAAATGAATTTGTAAAAATTTGATTTTTAGTGAAACATGTATTTGGATCAAGAGAATTAACACAATTAGTGACCCCAGAAGAAAGTATGAATGGATAATTATTTTTTAAATAAATATTTTTAATAAAACGGTTCTGTTTGAATTGAAAACCCCTATTATTACATCTTAAAATATTTATTATAAATAAATACGATTTATTTTTATCTTTCTAGTTGATTAAGTACGAGTTGAATTAATAAAGAAAAAAATAAAAATTTAATTTGACCCCGACGTGATTTGAACACGCAACCTTCTGATCTGGAGTCAGACGCGCTACCGTTGCGCCACGGAGTCTACATAAAATATAGTAATTAGAATAGTACTAAACAAATAATTTGTTATAAAAAATTTCAATTCACTTGACAAAGAGAAATTTATAAACACACTTTGCATAAGAATGATTTGGATTAAAAGTAAAATGCGACATCGAGAAAGCGGTAATCAATGTATTTAACAAGGAACAAGATAACGCACTTGAAAAGCTAAACGATTAAGGAATAACTCATAAAATCTAGAAATGTGATGTATATTTATTTGTGCAAATAAGAATTTTCATTCATCGTTAATTGATAATAATGTGTATTGTTTCATTATAATTAATAAACAATGGTGGAAAATCTTAAATGTTTCATTACGATTAAACAATATGAATCCACGTAACATCTCACATTTAAGAAACTCTATAAAATGCTCGTCCCAGATAATTGGCAGTGACCCGTCTTTTAAACGTCACTATAAACTTGGACTAATATGTGTTATAAAAACAAGGTTGTTGTAGATAATGTCACCGAGTCTCTAGAGTCTCTTTTTCATCCTTCCAGTCACCAATCCGATTCTGTCTTCTATTACTAGTCCTTTTTCAGTCTCCCTCCTCTCTGTCCAGGCTCTTTCCGAATCTTTAGAGAGTTTAGAGTTTCTATTCAGTCTCTTTCTTTTATTACCAATTTCTTTCTTCTCCTTTCAGTCTCTGCTCAGTGTCCTTCTTTTATGTATTAAATCCAATTTGTCTTTTTAGTTTCTGTTGAGTCTCTTTCTATTATTACTGGCATTATTCCACTCCTCCTACTCGCTGTCTAATATCTTTCTTGCCTTTCCAATCTCTTTCCAATTTAACTCCTCTTTGGTCAGCCTCGCACCTATTTTCTAGTCTCTATTGTTTCTCTTTCTTCTATTACCAATTTCCAATCTCTGTTCAGTGTCTTTTTTTATCACATGCCTCCAATTTGTCTTTCTAGTTTTTGTTGAGTCTGTTTCTATTATTATTAGTATCATTCCACCCTTCCTACTTGCTGCCTAGTATCTTTCTTGTCTTTAAAATATTTTTCCAAACTCACTTCTCTTTGGTTAGCCTCCTTGTTATATTTCCAGTCTCTATTGTTTCTCTTTCTTCTATTCAAACTGTCTTTTTGTGTCTTTTTCTATTATTACACCTCTTACTTGCTGCCTAGTACTTTTCTTGTCTTTACAATCTCCTTCTAATCTCGCTTCTCTTTGCTCAGCTTCCTCCTATTTTTCCAGACTCTATTTTTCTCTTTCTTCTATTACCAGTTTCATACTTCTCTTTTCACTCTCTGTTCAGTGTCCTAGTTCCTATCTAATTCTAGTTCCATTGTTACTAGCATCATTGCCACTCTTCCAATCTCGCTCCTTTTTGGCCAACCACCTTGCTATTTTTGTAGTCTCTATTGTTTCTCTTTCTTCTATTACCACTTTCGTTCTTCAGTTTTCAATCTTAGTTCAATGTCCTTCTTTTATTTACTGTTTCCAATTTATCGTTCTAGTTCCTATTGAGTCTTTTTCCATTGTTACTAGCATCATTGCCACTCTTCCTACTCGCTGTCTAGTATCTTCCTTGTCTTTACAATCTCTTTCCAATCTCACTCCTCTTTGGCCACCCACCTTGCTATTTTTGCAGTCTCTATTGTTTATCTTTCTTCTATTACGAAAGAAAATAACGAAAGTGTTCTTCTCTTTTCAATTTTAGTTCAATGTTCTTCTTTTATCTATTGTCTAAAATTTGTCATTTTTATCTTTTTTAATATCTTTTTTTTAGTGTTTGTTTGTCAAACACTAAATCATATTGAATATCCTTTTTTATCTATTATCTAAAATTTCTCATTTCTATTTCCCTGCTTCTTCTTTCAGTTCTTGTTTGTCACTTTTGTTTATCACCAGTCTCTTTCCTGTCTTAATCTTCCCTGTCTAGTATTTTTCTTGCTTTTACAGTCTCCTTTCAGTTTCCCTTTTCTCTGCTCAGTTAATTATTTCAATGCCATTTTCCTTCTTGTCTGTCCATAGTTTGTCGGATTTTCCTTTTATAACCAGCATATTTAAAAACTTTGCCTTTTTAATCAAGTATTTTTCTCGCCTTTACTGTCTTTCCTGTCTACTGAAGAGATTTACTGGATACATTTAAATTTTTTAGACTTCTACTTTGCCTGCTCTCTCTCTAATCTCCTTCCAGTTTCTGTCCAGTCCTTACTTTCTATTACCAGTATTTTCTTCTGACTCAATTTCTGTTCTTTTTCCATCTTAAATTAGCAATCACTGTAAAGTCTCTATCTAGTCTTGCTCTTTCTTTTACAGTATGTTCACTACTTTTTACTTTTTCTTTTCTTTGCAATTTCTGTGCCAACTATTTCTTCCATTACCAGCCTCATTCCAGCCTTTCTCTTCTTCATCTCATTCTCGTCTTGACTTTGTAGTCTTAAAATACAGTTTAATAATATAGAATATCGGCTTATATGCTGAAGATGTAAATTTGAAACATATCTTGTTGTGGAAAATATTAAAAGTGACGTTTTGAATGTTAGTAGTCTCTATTGTTTCTCTTTCTACTATTATCAGTTTCCTTCTTCTCCTTTAAATCTCTGTTCAGTGTCTTTTTTTATCACATGCCTCCAATTTGTTTTCCTAGTTTCAATTCCACCCTTCCTACTCGCTACTTTCCTACTAGTATCTTTCTTGTCTTTAAAATCTCTGTCCAATCTTTCTAGTATTTTGCTTNAGTGCAGATTTTGTTGCACCTGCTTTCGATTAAGTTCAATAAGTGCAGTGTAACTAAAGTGGCGGAATATTTGAAAACGTGTTTTGTAATAATTAATATTAATATTAAATATTAAGAAATAAAACGTTATAATAATAATTAATATTTGTTGTATTAGAGAACACAGTATATTCAATCCCAGTAGAGGCAGTAGAAAACTACCCCTACTTTTTTGGAATAATTTAAAAACTACCCTGTCTATTTTGGCGGCATTAAATACACTTATAGTACATTTAAAAATATTATGTGTTTTTTCTCATTTAGGGGTGGATGGGGTTAACTACCCTCACCACCCCAAATTTTTTTTTGCAAGTACTGCTTATCAATTTTGGTGCGATTTAGCATGTGATTTCTTTATACGTTAAGTAGTACTTTAGTACGTTAGTAGTTTGGTATAGAAAATATATTTCGCTAATAATTGAAAAAAATAAAAAGTAATAATAATAATTGATGAATACTAAAAAAACATTCTGCGATAATTTCATTTTCCACGAGTATTTCGCTGACAATCTCCTGTTCGTCCATTTCAAATATTATACACTTTTTTTATAAAAATCTGTTCGTTGGGACCACGGGGTTTATACACTTTTCTGACCTGCACTAAGTTGACATGACATTGCACTGACTTACACTTCATTGCACTATGACGTCATACTAGTGCCATGTCGTGCAGAGTAGTGCAGCCCCAACGAACAAAGCTAATGTCATCGTTATCAATTGAATTCGTATCAGAAAAAAGTATTTAATTCGATGTTCAATGGTTTAAGAGGCTCTTTGCATTCTGCTTCCTATCTATCCAGTCTCCTTTTCCTCCTTTCAGTTACTAATCCGAATCTGTCTTCTATTACCAGTCCCTTTTCAGTTTCCCTCCTCTCTGCCCAGGCTCTTTCCGAATCTTTAGAGAGTTTAGAGTTTCTATTCAGTCTCTTTCTTCTATTATCAATTTCTTTCTTCAATCTCTGCTCAGTGTCCTTCTTTTATGTATAATCTCCAATTTGTCTTTTTAGTTTCTGTTGAGTCTCTTTCCATTATTACTGGCATTATTCCACTCCTCCTACTCGCTGTTTAATATCTTTCTTGCCTTTCCAATCTAACTCCTCTTTGGTCAGCCTCCCTGCTATTTTTCTAGTCGCTATTGTTTCTCTTTCTTCTATTACCAGTTTTCTTCTTCACCGTTAAATCTCTGTTCAGTGTCCTTTTTTTATCACATGCCAATTATTTGGACTTTCTACCTTACCTGCTCTCTGTCTAATCCCCTTCCAGTTTCTGTCCAGTTCTCACTTTCTATTACCAGTATTTTATTCTGACTCAATGTCTGTTCTTTCTCCACCTTAAATTAGCAATCACTTTCCAGTCTCTATGTAGTCTTGCTCTTTCTTTTACAGTTTGTTCCCACTCTTTACTTTTTTTTTTCTTTGCAATTTCTGTGCAAACTATTTCATCCATTAGCTTCATTCTAGCCTTTCTCTTCTTCGTCTCGTTCTCGCCTTGACTTTGTAGTCTTAAAATACACTTTAATAATACGGAATATCGACTTATATGCTGAAGATGCAAATTTGAAACATATCTTGTTGTGAAAAATATTAAAAGTGACATAAGTACGAAGGCGTTCACTGCCAGTGTTAATTAAACTAAAACTAGAACTAACACTAGCACTATCACTAGACCTAGAAAGTGCCATGTTGCCACCTTCTTCAGAAACATGTTCGAAGTGACGAATTCGGTTAAAATTTGACAATAAATACATGAAAATTAGTGTCTAATTGTCAACTAAGTTGTTTTTGTCAAATCCGGGTGGTGAAGGCTTCGTTGAGTTCACTAGCATCTTCCATGTGCGGCTGAGTTCCCAACCATCTTCTCTATTCATGTTATTCCCATGTCGATGAATCTCTATCGCCTCTGTCGTCAATCTTTGGAAGTAATGTCCGTTTCTTGCTAGCACTTTGGTTTTGTCGAACTCTATGCTGTGTCCTCCTTCGTGGCAATTCTCTGCGACTGCAGATTGTTGGATCTTTCTGTCGGATATCTCTCATAGTATAGCCGTTCTTCTGCAGCACATCTTCTAGGAATCTTTTTTCTTTTCTTAGGTTCTCTTTATCGCATATCCTCTCTGCTCGCTGGAATAAGGCTTGAATCACGGACCTCTTCTGTTGTAGGTGGAGGTCGGATGAAGTCTGCAGGTACCTATTCGTATGCGTCCTCTTTCGATATACTCCCAGTTCCATGCCCCCATCTGTCTTCCTAGTGACTAACACATCTAGGAATGGCAACTGTTTTGCAGTTTCTGTTTCCATCGTAAATTTTATCATGGGATGCTGTGAATTGAGGTGGTCTAGAAATTCGTGGAGTTGCTCTTTTCCATGTTGCCAGATCACAAAAGTGTCATCGACGTAACGGAGCCATAGCTTCGGTTTCCAAGGACTTTTCTTGAGCGCTTCCTCTTCAAACATCTGATTATTAAAAGTGACGTTTTGAATGTTACATTTTGTATTTTTCTAGTCTCTATTGTTTCTCTTTCTACTACTATTTCTACTATTATCAGTTTCTTTATTCTCCTTTAAATCTCTGTTCAGTGTCTTTTTTTATCACATGCCTCCTATTTGTCTTCTTAGTTTCTATTGAGAGTCTTTTCATTATTATAAGTATCATTCCACCCTTCCTACTCGCTACCTTCCTACTAGTATCTTTCTTGTCTTTAAAATCTCTGTCTAATCTTTCTAGTATTTTTCTTGCTTTTACAGTCTCCTTTCAGTTTCCCAACCCAACCCCATTATTTCATTGCCATTTTCCTTCTGGTCTGCCCAATCTCCTTTCAGTTTCACTTCAGTCCTTTTTTTCCATTACCAGTATCTTCTTCTGTTTCATTTGCTGTTGTTTCACCTACTTAAATTATCAATCACTTTCCAGTCTCTATCTCGTATTTCTTTTTCTTTTAGTGCTTCTCCAGTCTATTCCAACCCCCTCTTCTCTCGCAGTCTTCTTTGCACTTTCTGTCCAAACCAATTTTTCCATTACCAGCCTTCTTCCAGTCTTTCCCTTATTCGTCTCGTTCTCGCCTTGACTTTGTAGTCTTAAAATACAGTTTAATAATACAGAATATCGACTTGTATGCTGAAGATATAAATTATTGTTTAAGCTTGTCTGTTTCTTCTGGCAATAACTTGGAAATGTAGATATCTGGGCAAATTCGTTATAATGTTAGTAATATACAAAACTATACTAGTCCTACTATATTTTGGAGTCTTGGTTTATTAGTTTTTGTTTGAAAATGTTCCATAAATGAGACACAAAATGAAATCAACACCTAGTTTTTAATAAACGTTTTATTTATAGTTGATAGAACAGTTATTTAAAGCCCTAATTAACTATTGCGATGGAGTGATGTTTGCGCTTGTGATACAGACAACATATTTAAATAAACATTTTACATAAACATCATGATTTGTGCAATTGATACAATATATCGCCGGCGATTTATATTTATATTTGGACCATATTTTTAGAACCTATTTTTAAACCAGCAACACTTTTTATGTTACGTTAGGTTAAATGGTTTCGGAGAATTATTATCATTGTTCTAAATTCGGAAAAGTTAAACAAAATTATACAAGAAGAATTAAATTCATTAATGGTAACTCGATATATTTTATATCATATTCGAGCGATAATTTTATAAATAAACTCAGCCTACATCAAGGAATTTGGAAGATCGCAATCGACGTTGTGTAATTTTTATGTTAACATGTGAATCACGGTTTGAAGAAAAACAAGAAGTGCTGATTTTTGAAATACTTCTCGGATGACACTGTTTTTGGTTAATATGAGTCATTTTTTTGTATAAATTGTTTAATGATTTTCTAGTTTTATTTAAAGTTAATATTTTTGTAGAAATGATTAAATTGGGGTGGGTCTGAACTAGGTCCCATGGTGTAATGGTTAGCACTCTGGACTTTGAATCCAGCGATCCGAGTTCAAATCTCGGTGGGACCTAATTTTTTTTTTTTGATTAATTATTATTTGATTTTAATTTTTTTTTGGGAAAATTGTTTAATTATTGTTGTTGATTAGTTAATTTTGGAAATGTGGTGGTTTTTTTTTGAAATTGTTCTAAATGGACGCCATTGTGCTGGAAACGACGCCGGCGCCATTCGATCCGCGTTTGCGCCCACCTCGACTTTAATAAAACCGGAGCCGGTGTTCAGTCGGGCTCGGGCCGAGTGGGGTTAAAGTGCGGGTCGCGTCGCACAGCCTTTCGTACACAAAACTGTTTTTCGAACGAATCATCTACAAAACGAAACTAAATAGTCAACGCATCTAAATCAGAAACACAACAACCGTTTTTTACGGAATTGCTTTCAAAAGCACACCACGATGATAGGCACCGATGGTTATAACAACGTCGACCATTACGGCGACGGTTACATGGAACAGGAGGAAGAATGGGAACGCGAAGGACTTTTAGATCCAGCATGGGAGAAACAACAAAAAAAGGTTGGTTAAAAAAATTGTTTTTGATTCCAATTGTTTTTTTTAACTTGTAAACATAACCTATAAATTTTGACACACCAAAACAAAAGCAACCCACATTTCATAACCTAACATAATTTAAAAAATGTTAAATAAAGCGGTGAATCCCAGAATATTAGGATTATTACATAATTTTTTTCTCAAATATAACTTATCCGCGACGTCACTCCTACGTAACCTTATCTATCTCTACAAAATACAGGGCTCTGGACTATTTTTGGATACCTCCATTCCCGAGGTTCCCTTATACCGTCACCGACGTCGTGATGTAACGAAGCGTCGCAACACCTCGCATATAATATAACCGCCATCGAAGATTTACTATATATTTTAGTCTTACTATATTTTTCGGTGACACATTTGGATCCAGCGCAGTTTTGAAATCGAGACGGGTCCGGGCGTCGCGACGCCCACCCGAAACTCTCATTTATAAATTTAAAGTACGACCACTCGGTGCGCGCAAGATCCGCGCGAAAAAGACGCCCTCATTCGCAATCGTGCGCACACAAGCGAGAGAGCGTCACGAGCGTCGGGTTTCCGACGCCTCATGACCAAAGAAGGGCGCCGACGTTCAACATCGATGTCTGTAAACAGGACAGAAACCAATATCTTTTTGCCGCTTTGTTTGCGATTTAAATGTTTTTCTACTTTAAAGTTTTCAAATTGACGTAAATATTTTAAAAGGTACCTAAAATATACGTCTAATAATATAAGTATGATCGTTTCGACAAATTTTTAGGTTTAGGAGGCTATTTTTAAATGTGTTTTCTTCGAAAATAAAATTGTTATAAAATTATTACGCTTTAAAAATAACTGTTACTTAAGAATTTAAATTGTTCATTACGTTCAAGTTCATTTATTACATTATTCTTGGCAAAATAACCAGGTGTTAACGACTTTTTTATCAGGTACATTGATCAATTATAACTTTTAAAAATCATGATAAAATTTAAAGTTAAGAATTTTTTTATATTGCAAATTTTTCCACGAAGCATGTTTTTGATTCACTCTTAATCCCTAAGTTTCGCTAAGTTAAATCCCTTAGGGATTCCCTAAGTCCCTAAGGGAATCCCTAAGTTTTGGTGATCTCAATTAAGGGGGTAGCCACCTTTGAAATGAAAAAAATCGATTTTTTTTTTGCTTAAAAGTGTTCTTTATACTGTCTAGAATGAGAATCCATTGACATTTGAAAAAAAAACATTTGCGGAATGTTTTTCTGCCTAAAAAAATGATTTTTGTAACACATGTCACCGGAAATTCTGTATCCACTTCTGTATTTCTGTATTTTGACCTTGTACAAAAAAGTTTAAAAAAAACATAAAATATCATTTTTCAAAAACGCTATAAGCATCACAAAAACTCATTTTCGTAGAACACTTTACCCGAATTCTATCGAACAAATGGGTAATTCCAAATATAAAGTCAAAAATTTGTAAGAAGTGTAGTTACTGGAATACTGCGGAATTTCAAGATTGGGTCGAAGATCATAAAGAAATATGTGATATAAACCACGTCAGATCTTTAGGAAAAATGGAAGTGGACTCCGTCGTAGAGATGTTTCAACGATCCGAAGATAAACATAATTAGAAGTACTGTTTTTACGTAGGAGACGGAGACAGCAAAACCTTCAAAGTTATTATGGACGCTCAGCCCTATGACAAAAAAGTTATATTATAATAAAGAATTATATTATGGATTGGCTATTCGCAGAAATTGCGATTCCGTGAAGGACACGAAAAAAGAGATCTGGGCTACTTTGTATCATAAAATTTCAACAGATGAAACTCCAAAGCATGACAATTGTCCAGTTGGTGCTGACTCGTGGTGTTCCTGGCAGAAAGCGCACGCTTTGTCAGAAATCGATGAGTACACTCACAAGCCAGCAATCGGCAATGATGTTTTTAACGCAGTGTAGTAAACCTGTATACGAAGAGATATCAAGGGAAAATCTTTTGACAAGATGTTTAGGGGGATATACGCAAAACAGCAAAGAAAGTTACAACGCCGCGTTATGGTCTATCGCACCAAAAACTATTCATAGTGACAAGAAAGTGGTTGACATTGCGTCTGATATAGCTGCTTGCAATTTTAATGACGGTCTTACAAGCATTATGGAAATAATGCAAGCACTGAAATTAACAATTGGAAGATCGTGCTTCGACTTTTGTCATGAAACGGATTTAAATCGCATTGCTCGCTCTGAGCGCTCCATGACTGCTGAGGCTAAAGAAGCTCGTAGAAGCCTACTGTCAGACAGAAAAGCTGCAGAAGATGAAAATAAGCTTCAGGAAGGACAGCTCTATGGGTCGGGAATCGCTGATTAGATGTATCTAGAAAAAATATACAATTTTTTACATTCGAAAACTTTAAACGCGTTTTTCTGGAAACTACATTTTTCCAATCTGTGCACACGATAAATACGACATTTCTTGTAAAATCGTCACCATTTCGTCAAAAATGAATATTTTTTAAAAATCCTACGTAGTTCCGTAGTTTTTGAGTTTACTAAAGTAATCGTATTCAAGTTTTAATTATTCGATTTACGCGTTAGGAGAAATCCTGCGCACAGTTTGACCCTGCACGATTTGCAAGCCTAACATTACCGACATCTAGCGGGTGCAATTTTAATAACTCTTAATAAATAAAATATGTATTTAAAACTAGAAAAGTGGCTTATTCACACCCTGCAACCCGTTTTTACAAAACTTCTTTCATCTGATTGCAAAAAATGTTCAATAAACTTTCTCGAAATTAGTTTAAACCGGCGGCGGCGTCCCAAACTCTCCAAATTCTCATAGACCATCTTCAAAATTTTGCTGGTTCCGGTGGACCCCCTGCTACATTTCTACTATAATCCCAAAACTCGACAAAAAATGTGAAGATTAGACCTAACTATGGAAATTTGCTTTGGGGCTGAGTTCCAACCACGAATTAACAGTTTTCGAAAAAAAAGTGAGAATTAATTGGTTAATTAATTAATTGATTGTGCTGTGAGTGGATGTCAAAAAAGTAAAGTTGGCCAATCAAAAAAGTGATTCCATCGAACAGCACAAGAAACCAATCAATTCTCACTTATTTTATTTAGAAACCTCCCCATTCGGGGTGATAAATATAAAAAAAAAATAGTATATTTTCTTGTGTTGTATTTCTTCAAATATGTAATTATTACACTGTTAATTATTATTGTTATCATATTACAATGTAATAACTAACACTATCATTAGAACTAACACTAGACCTAGAACTAGAAACTTTCGGGTTAAGCTGTGCGTTTTTTGAAAAAATGTTTGACGTTTCGGATGCCATGTTGCAACCTTCTTCAGAAACAACTTCGAAGCACTTCGAACTAGTGATAGTGCTAGTTTTAGTTTAATCACAAAATAGTCATAATTTGAATGGGACTTTATGGATTGACACCAAATTATCAATTTTTGGCTTCAGTTTTGTTAGGACTAACCGCAAATCTCCCCGTTCTATGATATTCAATCTGTTCCTTTTTTTTTTGTTAAAAGGTTTGTAACGATACTAAAACTTTTTTCGACAAGATATGACGAGGGAAACGCTATCAAAAGCTTTCTCGCAATTCCGCACAGTCCAGAATATTTTTCGGATATTTCTGCGTGCAGCCAAAATATTTGATACCCTCTTTTAAATTTCACCTTCAGCTCCTCATTAGTGTTAAGCTCGAGTATATATATTTATATTGAATATATATATTTGTTTATTGAATCTTTTGAAGTCATCATGCAGGGCAATTAAATATTGAACGTATGTCTGAATATCCTCATCAAGCCATTCTACCTGTGACAAGTTTAAAAACTGGGAAAATTCGCGCCGACTAATATTTTGCTTCATAAATTTCAATTTTCCAACAAAGGCTGAAACTACACCCTCTGTTTTTATTAAATTGAGGCTGTCCCCTTGTAATTGTAAGTTAATGACATTAAATTTTTTGAACAAATCTGTCAAAAACGCGATGTCTGCTTTCAAATTGATCAGGTTTTCTTTTAAATCTGGGTCTTTACTTTCCAGAAACTCTAACACTGATTCAAAAAGTGAATAAAATCTTGTTAAACATGCACTTTTCGACAACCAGCGTACTTCAGTATGTAAGAGCAATCGTTGGAAGTCTTCATCATTTTCATCGCAAAATTGTGCAAATAAACGCGCATTCATATAATTATAATACAATACACGAGCAATACATTGCTTCTTATTTTGTTAACTGCATTCATCGTAAATTGAAGCAATGAGTGCAATCTATCACTCAAATTTTTCGCTACTAGATGTTGTCGGTAGATGACACAGTGAATTGCAGTTATCACTGGTATAATTCTTAAGTTTTTACAAGTAACAGTCGCTGAGCTTCTTAAAATATTATCTGCCTACATTGATAGGCGAAAAAATGTGTAAAAATGTTTGTGGACCCCCGCTTACGAATTGTGAACGAATTGTGAGTCCAGCTGGGCCACTTTGGGAATCAATGGTTTAAACTTTTTGTAACTACTCACCTAGATTGGAATAAGTATCCAAACTGCACATGTTGCTCTTAGGGTGTGTCCAAACATTGCACGAAATTCGCAATACAATTCTGCCTCATACAAGTTTGGACATACCAAAGAATATTTGCGCGGATTGCCAGAAAGGCGTTGGGTTAAATCTAATCTCTGTTTCTGTAGGATTTATAAAATGACGATGTTGTTTTCTATCATCGATTTTGAAAAAGCTGAATCTTCCAGCTTTCCTTCCAAAAATTTCAGTTTTGAACATAGTGGAGTTATTGGATTCCAGTAATTTGGCTAACCAGTAAAACGACTTCCTCCAAACTGCCTTGGTTCTCTTTAAATACCTCAGGGTTTTTAGTTTGGTGTCTCTAAGAACCTAAACCCTAAGAAAAATTAATCCTAAATGTTCAAAATTTCAACCTGGAAATTATAGCATTTTCAATCCACTGACTTTTCATC